ACTTCACTTACATTATGTGTTTCAATAGGGTAAGCATTCCACACTGACAGAATCTATTCCGTTAAACTCATAAAAATAAAAATTTGGAGCTCCAAGATTAATGTTAAAGATTTATTAAATTTGCTTTTTAACATGAAATGTATTAAATATTTTAGGGAAGCTATATCAAATGAAATGTTAAACAATCAGCCAGCAATACATCAGGTATGCATTTTGATTGTCTTCATATCAACATAATATTCTTCCAGCGAAAAAGCAATGTGAACTCTCTTAAGGTTTACTGAGATGACAGAGTATTACAAAGAGTAAGGGTGCCTCCATCATTAGCGTGTGGCTTCTTTGTAGATTTTTTGAAATATTCACTGTTATTAACTAAATGCAGAGATATTCTGTAAAAAAACCAGAACATTGTTAATATCTTGCTTAGATTTTCTTTTTTGACTTCATTCAAAATTTTAGATAACTGACTGTGTTTTGAAAGAATGTAGAAAAGAAAAGAGTGACTATAGATTAGAGGCATGGAAATGTATGTCAGCTGTATTAGAAGAATATGAAATTGATAAATTTCAAGATATGTGGGATATCATGATACCTGTTTTACAAAAGGTAAATCTTAATCAGGTAAATCTTAATCATTTCCTGATTTTTCTATCAACAACAAAAATTAAAGCCTGTTGTTTTGTTTTGTGCTATCAAACTACAGGATAAACGTCAAATCAAATAGCAGTGTTGATAAGATTTCTGTTTATTATTTTACTAGTCTGACTATTCTTATTATTTTACTAGTATGACTATTCTTATTATTTAACAATTCTGACTATTTAATATTGTTTAATATTTTATCAGTTTGAGTATGTTAATTCTTTTACAAGTCTGACTAAATTTATTATTTTACCAGAGAGACTATTCTTATTATTTAACTAGTCTGACTATGTTTATTATTTTACTAGTATGACTATTCTTATTATTTAACTAGTCTGACTATGTTTATTATTTTACTAGTATGACTATTCTTATTATTTAACTAGTCTGACTATGTTTATTATTTTACTAGTATGACTATTCTTATTATTTAACTAGTCTGACTATGTTTATTATTTTACTAGTATGACTATGTTTATTATTTAACTAGTCTGACTATGTTTATTATTTTACTAGTACGACTATTCTTATTATTTAACTAGTCTGACTATGTTTATTATTAGTCTGGCTATTTTTTTATGTTTCCAGTGTGACAATAAAGAGAAAGATGATGATGAAGCTATAAGTAGTAATTTAAAAGAAAGCAATAGAGAATGTATATATTTATGTTTAGGACAATGTTGGCCATATACATCCTCTGTACAAGGTAAAAACTTTTCTGTACAATATAAGCTTTGTTTCTCTCTGTCGTGACATTACTAACTTACTGCTAGAAATGAGCTTTAGAGACCTATTATAAATGTTCTATATATAAGTTTCATTAACAGTGAAATTTAGGGTTTATCTTGTAGATGATTATAAGAAGAAGTTATTAGATTTACTACTATCATCATTACCTCTCAGTACATGGAAAGTACAAGTCTCAATTTTAAAATCTTTAAATACATATATTGAGAGGTAAGTAATCTCTTTTTTATTGCAAATCTTTTGATGCACTATATGGTGTAAAAGTATGTAACAGTTAAAATATCCCTTGACAGCTAGAAATTGTAGGCAAATTTGTTCTTTTGATTCAATACATGGTATATAAATAAAGGTCCAGAAAAGTACCTCCTATAGTTATTTCAAATGCCAATTGATTATATGAAAGGGTAATTAAGATTATATGTGTTAAAGAAAGATAAAATTAAAGCTATTGTTGTATCAACTGATGATAAATTCAGTAATTTCTGTATATTTCAGATTACATGTATCACAGAAAGATAAGATCAGATCTACTGTCAGATGATAAATTAAGTAATTTCTGTATATTTCAGATTACATGTATCACAGAAAGATAAGATCAGATCTACTGTCAGATGATAAATTAAGTAATTTCTGTATATTTCAGATTACATGTATCACAGAAAGATAAGATCAGATCTACTGTCAGATGATAAATTAAGTAATTTCTGTATATTTCAGATTACATGTATTACAGAAAGATAAGATCAGATCTACTGTCAGATGATAAATTAAGTAATTTCTGTATATTTCAGATTACATGTATTACAGAAAGAT